CCGCGACACCCCCGCGCCGGAGGCTGCACCCCCATCCCCGCCCCGGCCACCCGCGACATCCCCGCGTCGGGGGCTGCACCCCCATCCCCGCCCCGGCCACTCGCGACATCCCCGCGTCGGGGGCTGCACCCCCATCCCCTCCCCGGCCACCCGCGACATCCCCGCGTCGGGGGCTGCACCCCCATCCCCTCCCCGGCCACCCGCGACACCCCCGCCCCGGGGGCCGAGGTCCAGCCCCTGCTCGTGGCACCCTTGCCCCGGGAAAGGTTCCGGGGTCCAGCCCCTGCCCGTGTCTCTGACAATGTTTTGCCTAAATCAGCCCAGGACTCCCCTCGACGCCTTCGCAGCAAAGGCTTCTTGCTGTTTCGTGGTCAGTTCGGTGTTCAGCAGGACTCCCGGGGCCTTTTTTGTGGAGCTGCTTCCCAGCCGTCCGTCCCTGGCCCGCCCTGGGGTGGTTCCTCCCAGGGCAGGACCGGCCACTGCCCCGTGCTGACCCTTCCCAGGCTCCTGCCCGCAGTCGCTCCAGCTCGTTCCGGTGCTTCTGCACTATGGAGCAGAACGCCCCGCCGGGTGCAGTCGCCCCTCCTCGCTGGGTGTCACCTGTCACCGTGCTCAGGGTGCTCTGCCCGGCCTCCAGGTCCCTAATGACAGCGTTAGACTGGACCGGACCCAGTACTGACCCCGCGGTACATTGGTCATTACCGGCCACTGACCACCCCGTTCTGGTCTCAGCCGTGCAGCCCGTGTTCACTGCTCCTCGCGGCTCATCCAGCCCACGCTCCCACAGCTTCTCTCACAGGATCCCACGGGATGCAGCGTCAAATGCATTCCTGAAGTCTGGGTGGGCACTGTCCCCTGCGTTCCCCTCGAGCACCAGCTCTGGCATTTCACCGCGGAAGGTGATGGGGTGGTCAGGCACGACAGCGCCCTTCCTGTCCCTCCCGTGCTCAGAAGATTCCCGGGATCAGTTGTGTCGCCACCTGCCCAAGGACAGAAGTGAGGCCGAGCCCTGTCCTCAAAAAGTCCCCCCGTGAAGGCAGCCCCCCCTTACACACGGCTCCCACGTATCTCAGCATATGGATATGCCTGGGGATCCACTGGACTCCCACATCCGACAAACCCCCTGCACCCTGCCCCGGACGCCCCTCCCCGGTGCTCGGAACGGCGGCACCGGCGGGCAAGACCCCCCCTGTCCTGCAGCCCAGCGGGGGGGCGGGGCCACGGCGGGGGGCGGGGCCCGGCGGTACCCGTGCCGGTGCCCGCTGCCCACGGTGCCGCTCGCGCCCGGGATGGAGCCCCCGACCGGCACCGAGAACGCCCGCCTGGTGAGCCCGCGGGGCGGCCGCGCCGACGGCAGCCTGCGCCTCAAGAGGTACTGCCGGCACCGGCACCCATCGCCCCGGTACCCCATCACTCTCACCACCGTCATTCCATCACTGCTGCCTCCGGCACCGCCGGCATCGGCACCTGCATCACCGGCACCCCCATCACTGGCACCCTCATTGCTCCGGCACGTCCGACACCGCAATCACCACCGGTACTCCCATCACCACCGGCACCTCAGCGCCCCAACATCCCCATGACCGGCACTAGCACCTTCATCACCGGCACCCCCGGCACCCCGGCACTGCCACCCCATCAGCTCCCAGGGCTCCCGGCAATTCCTCGCACCGCCAGCTCCATCATCCCCCCCCGTCGCAACCCCAGGTCCCCCCGCACCCGCACTGCCGGCACCGGCTCCCCCATTACCCCCTGCATCTCCGTCGTCCTCAGCTCCCTTGGCACCCGCAAGCCCACGGCTCCCTCCCTCCCGGCACCGGCACCCCCGGCACGTCCCTCCCCGCCCGCCCCCGCGTCTTCATATATCCAACACGGACATCGGCACCTCCGCAGCCCCCGCGCCAGCCCTGACCGTCCGCCACCGGCACCCTCACCCCGCCACCGGCACCCGCGCCCTCCCTGCTACCGGTACCTCCACTAAAGCGGAGCCAGCCCCTCCCGTGCGCCAGCCCCGCTCCCCCCTCGGATGTCCGTCCGGCAGCTACCGGGGCCCAAACGTCACCGACGCACACCGGTACCGGCCATCCATCACCCGCCCACACCGGTACCGTCCATGCATCACCCCCCCCGGCCCGGTTCGTTGTCCGTCCCCACTCCCTCACGGCTGCCCCACGCACCAGCGCCCCGGCCCCCGCCTCCTTTACCACGCCTCACGTCTCCGCACCTGTGCCCCGTCCCACAGTCTGGCTCCAGGCGCAACACCTCGGTCCCACTGGCACCTCCCCGCGGGTACCCGCACCGCCCCCGGCTCCAGTCCCGGCAGGAGCCCCGTGCCGCCGCCTCCTGCTGCCGCCGCCGGTCCCTTTGCTGCCCATCCCGCCGGGGGGGGCTCAGCCAGTGTCCCATCGGTTGCCTGGCTGCGGACCCCAGGGTGGTAGCGGGACCCTCGGGGTGCCAGGCAGGGGCACGGGAGACGGTGTGGCCAACAGCGACCCCCGCCCCCAGTTTGTTCACAGGCTCCCAGGACCACCCGGCACTGGCGCCTCACCCGGCTTCAGCTCTCCACTGCCGCTGCAGCCTCCCGGCCCCCAGCCCCGGGAGGGGCAGGCTCCCCAGCCGGCAGCTGAGAGTCGCCTGCGCCGTCTGCTGCCTCTTCATGGTCGGGGAGGTGATAGGTAAGGGGGGCCGGGACGAGGCGAGTGGTTGCCGGCGGGTCGCGGGGTGCCAGCTGCTCTTTGCCCGCAGGCGGGTACTTGGCGCACAGCCTGGCCATCATGACGGACGCGGCCCACCTGCTGACGGACTTGGGCAGTATGTCCGTTAGCCTCTTCTCCCTTTGGGTCTCCACCCGCCCACCCACCAAGACCATGACCTTCGGCTGGCACCGCTCAGGTGAGCCGAGGGGCACGGCCCCGCCGGGTTCCACGGGAGGCACAGCTCCACGGCACCCCCATGGCCGCGTGGACACTTAGGGCTCCTGTCCCACAGAGATGCTGGGCGCACTGGCCTCTGTCCTCTCCATCTGGGTTGTGACCGCGGCCCTCGTCTACCTGGCGGCCGCCCGCATCATCAGCAACGACTACGAGATTGAGGCGCGAGCCATGCTGGCCACATCCGCCTGTGCCGTTGGCATCAACCTGGTGTATGTCCCATGCGGCCCCTGTGCACCTTCAGCCTGAGCCCTGCCCCATGTGTGCCCCTGGTACCCCAAGACCCCCAGCCTGGCCCCCTTCTGCCCCTGTGCACCAGCCTTATGTCCCCAAGCACTGCCTCCTCCTCTTCTCTGTCACGCCCCTATGCTTGCAGCTTCCAGTCCACGTGCTTACATCCCCATGCCCCACATCCCCTGGCCCCCCAAGCAGCACCTTCTGAGCTCTGGCACAAGCCCCAGGCCCAAATCCCTGCCCAGTCCCACGCACATCCCAGCAGTGCTGCAGCTTCCCTGGCTGTGCTGTACCTCCAGCCCCACTCCCCTCCACCATCCTGGGACCCAGCTGTGCCTGCCTGTGCCCCCTTTGCCCGTGCAGGGCATGGCAGGACCAGTGGGGCCCCCATGCCAATGCGGCACTGAGCCAGCCCTGCTCTCCCCAGCATGGCCTACATCCTGCACCAGTCCCCTGCCGGCCATGGCCACGGCACAGTGGGCTATGAGCAGCTGGAGAGCTCTGGGGGGTGCCAGCCCAGCCGTGCCCCCCTGCCTGGCAGCACCAGCGTGCGGGCAGCCTTCGTCCACGTGGTGGGTGACCTGCTGCAGAGCGTCGGTGTCCTCGTGGCTGCCACTATCATCTACTTCAAGGTGCCCAGGCTGGACTCCACCTGCACTGCCTGCAGGAGCAACTCCTGCAGCCCCATGCAGGGTGCCCTGGGGACCCCACCCCAGGGGCCCAGCTCAGCTCTGCCCCCTAGCCTAACATTGACCCCTCTCTGCAGCCTCAGTGCAAGATTGCAGACCCCATCAGCACTCTTTTCTTCTCGGTCTTTGTCCTTGGTTCCACCTTCACCATCCTCAGGGATGTCTTCAGGGTCCTCATGGAAGGTGAGTGGTGAATGATGGGGGCACAGAGGCTCCCGGGGCTGCAGCTGCTGCAACACTTTGCCCATGAGGCAGCTCACCTCCTCTGCTCACCCCAGTCCACTCCTCTGTCCTTCCCTCGCCCCCCAAATATCCCCAACCCCTCCTCCCCATCCCAGGTACGCTGGCCCCACTGTGCCCAGCTTAGTCCCCCTGGGGAAGCCCCCAGCCTTGGCAGCTCCCACCAGGTGCCCTGGTCCAGGTGGGGGCTGTGGCTGGAGGCCAAGGGTGGCCCCCAATGACCAGGTGGTGCTGGCAGGGACACCACGGGGCACTGAGTTCGATGCGGTGAAGGAGGTGCTGCTGGAGGCCAGCGGGGTGCGGAGTGCCCACGACCTGCACCTCTGGGCGCTGACGCCGAGCCACCCTGCTGTGTCAGTGCACGTAGCTGTGGGTGAGTGACCTGCACAAGGCACGGCTGGGGGGTCCCCCTGGCCATGCCTGGGCTGAACTCCTGCCCTGCTGCCCCCAGAGGCTGGCGCCGACCCCGAGATGGTGCTCTGGGATGTCACTGCCCGGCTCCAGAGCAGGTTCGGCTTCGCATCTTGCACCGTGCAAGTAGAGCAGCACCGGGAGGAGACAGCAGCCTGTCCCCACTGCCAGGACCCCCATGCCTGAGACCCCTGCCTGCTGCTGCACTGGGCCTGGCCTAGCCTTGGCTCCCCCTGCCCTGGAGCAGGCCAGTGCTTGGGGTGCTGTCCCCTGCTGTCCCCACCCCACTGCTGTGTAGCCCTGGAGTGCGACAGTACCCTCGGTGCACAGTCCTGGGTGGGACGGACACGTGGCCTGGGTCCAGCAGCCCAGGGGCTCCCTGGGATCCTCCACTCGCTGCTGTGCCACAGCCTCTGAAGAAGGGGGATCCTGCCCCACCACTCACCCCCACGGAGCCCGGCTGTCCTGGCAGGAACAATGTCCCCTGTGGGGGACCCTAGATGTTGCCTTGGATCCAGATGCTTGTGCCCCCATCGCCCCCTTTGCTGCTGCTCAGGCTTGGGGAGGGCAGGTCAGAGGAGCTGCTGCAACCCCCAGGTGCGGGGGGCTGGGGCAGCCAGAGCCCAGAGGTCAGCCCACCACTGGCTGCTGTGCCAGGGCCTGATCCATCCCCCTTGCTGAGTTGTGTCTGTGCCGCTGATGTCCATCTGCCTGTCTGTGCCGGCAGCAGTGTCAGCACTGCCAATAAAACGTGTTGGAGAAGCAGCAGTGGCGCAGGAGCCAGAGGGGCATAGGGAAGGGGACAGTGGGGTTGGCACTGGACCCCCACAGTCATGGCCACAGCCACAGCTGCCCTGGCGCTGGCACCTCCACAGCTGTACAAAATCAACCACGTTTACTGCACAGCTGAACACAGGCTCAATGTGAGCAATTCCAAAGCTCCCAGCCCGCTCCCTGCCCCTTGGAGCACAGCAGGGCCAAAGGTGAGCGCAAGCACAGCCCCACACCAGTGGGGCCCACGGGCACTTCTGTGGGGTCAGACCCACAGCTTGACCCCAGGACATGCGCCAGTCTCACCACCCCCACCCAGCTCAGGCCAAACAGTGCAGACAAATCCTTCCGGGTCCGGAAGACGTGTCTGGAGGATCCCAGGAGCAGCAGGGAGCAGCCGTCCCTCCCGCAGCAGGGGCCCAGCAGGAAGGCAGCCCAGAGAGGGGCCACAGTCCCTGGCCAGCACAGCTGGCCCCGGTCCCTGCCTAGGGTGAGCAGCACAAGGGACCAACCCCCCTACTCCACCGGCAGTGGGGAGCACTCGGGGGGGCTGGGGCTGCCGGGCACATCCCTGTAGAGGGAAGCGAAGCGGGCCTGGCACTCTAGGAGCAGCCGGTGGCCCACGCCGGAGGCCAGTCCTGCCAGGCAGTGCACCCGCACGATGCCTGCCTGCCCACCTGACACCAGCCAGCCCTGCGAGTCCAGGTTGGGGCTGAAGCGCACCTGTGGGAAGAGGAGGGTTCGGGAGACAGGGGGCTGAGGCACCGGGATCTTGGCCCCCCCAGCAGCGCTGCTGCTGCAGGGCTAGGGCTGGGGCTGGGCCTGGCCCCCTCACCTTGTGCAGGGCCTCCAGCTGCAGGCGGTCAAGGTTCAGCTCTGCCTTCACCTCCTGTGTGTGCATCCTGCGCATGGGCTCCCGGCTCAGGAAGTTCTGAAAGCTGCGCTGGAAAGTGCCGGCACCACCTTGGGCTGCGGGCCCGGGGCAGGAGCACTGCAGGCACCATGGTCCCAGCTCTGCCAGAGGTGAGGTGCTGCCCCAATGCCCCAGCAGCGTCTCTTGATCCTGCCACCCCCAAAGCCCAGCCACAGCCCCACAGGCCCCACTCATGCTGCTGGACCACCAGCTGCACCCTGCCTTCTCCTACCAGGTCTGTGTCCTGGAATTGGATGTAGCTCCTGGCCACCATCTCGCTGTAGCACCGGGTCCTGGGCAGCGCCTGCTCAGTGCCCTTGGGCCCGGCAGGGCTGCAGGGCAGCAGGTTGGCTTTGTACACTGGCTGTGTAGTGTAGAGAGGGGCTCAGGGCAGGGCAGGGGTCCTGCTGCTCCTCTGCAGACAGGGGCCACAAGGGATCAGCAGTGTGGGGGGCCCAGGACGCTCTCCCCATGTCCCCTCCCTCCCTGGCTCCCTGTGTGCTGGGCCAGGCTCCCTCCCTACCCCAAAACACAACAGCCTCTTACAAATCTGCGGTCCAAGGAGCGCTTGACATGAAGGGGGCTGATGGCCAGGTCAGGCAGCACCGCAGCCACCAGCTCGCCGGTGATGTCACCCGCAGCCACCGTGTTCAGCCAGTCCGAGCCAGAGATGCTCTGCAGGGACAGAGGGCTGGAGGGTGCGGGGTCCCCACCACCCCCAGCCAGGCAGTGTCACCCACCCCCACCTGCGAGCCCTGGGTCCCAGCTGGTGCTGACCTGGCCCCCGGGACATAATGGCCCCACAGCAGCCCTTACCCACACAGTGCCCTTGCGAGGGGCCACGAAATAAGCCTTGAAGCCCAGGTACCCGGCGTCGATGTAGTGGATCCCGCAGAGCCCGTACCTGCAGTGAAAGGGACAGGTTAAGGACAGAGCTCTGTGCTGCCACGGGGACTGCACAAGCCAGGCACAGCCCATCTCCCCCCCAGATGCTGGTGGCGGGGGAGCTGCCCTTACTCTAGCAGCATGTCACAGGGTAACAAGGCAGCTCAGGGCAGCTCCTGGAGATTGAGAACCCACCAAGACCTCAGACCCCTTCAGCAGGACCCCTGCTGCCCTGCCCAGGGGCTGGCTATCCCCTGGCCCACCCTGCCTGTGCCCCAGGATGGTATGGGAGAGGGGACGTCACACTGTGCCACTGTGGTGTGACCCAGCACGAGCAGAGCCTGCCCTTGCCACGGCATTGTTGGACGGTCCCAGGAAGGGGGAGGCCAGAGGGGCCCGTGGGGGGTTGAACCAGGCCCCAGCAGTGGGGCTGAACCCCAGCACTCACGAGGCATAGCAGTTGTCCTGGGCCACAGTGATGCCGTTGTAGGGCAGCAGCCAGGCCACCTCAGTGCTCAGGAACCGCTTGATGCTATTGATGGGCTCGTAGAGCCGCCGCAGGTCCCAGAACTTGATCTTGCGATCACTGCCTGCCGTGACCAGGAAGTTGCTGAGAAGCAGGAGAAAGGTAGCACTGAGAGCCCAGCGCAGAGTGGTGGCCTGTCCTGGTGCAGGCTCCAGGTGGCCCGGGTCCTCCAGTGGCTCTACTGCCCTCACCATGGAAAGCCCAACCCAATCTCTCCAGTGCTGCAGAGGGTCAAGAGCCATTGGCACCATGGCCTCCTAAGCCCCTCTGAAGGAGGGAGCCCCTCTCCTGGCAGCACCTCACCTGTTGACCTTGCACCACTCGATGCTCCGGACTGCATGGTCGTGGGCCAGGAAGCACTGGAAAGGGTAGAGCTTGAGAGAGGCATCAGGCTGGTGCACACACTGCAGCAGGGACTTGGTGAGCAGGTTCCAGATGGCCACAGTGCCTGTGGAGAGACCCGTGTCCCTAAGGTGCTGCTGATAGCACAGGTGCTGCAGTGTGGGACGGGCAGTGGCACAGGCAGGACTATGGAATACGGCGGCCAGGCTAGAGCTATGGCTCTGAGCAGGACAGGATGGTAGCAGGACCTGGCAGCAGCACGGGCAGGGCTGTGGGAGCTGTGGAACACAGCGGCCAGATGGGAGCTGGGGCCAGGGCTCAGAGCAGGACAGAATGGCAGCAGGACCTGGCAGGACAGCACAGAGCTGCAGATCACTAGAAGGCTGGCAGAAAATTCCATCCAGGTAAGTTGAGCAGATGTGGATTAGGCCAGAGCCACATCCTGGAGCCGACAGGTACGTGAGGGTGACGGTGGTCAGCCCAGAGAAGCCTTCCCCCACCCCAGGGATGGGCAGGGGTTCCAGCACAGTGCCCACTGCTGGCCGCTGCTCTCCCCATCCCTCACCCCTGGAGTCCCCTGTTCCCTGCCCCAGACAAGGATGAGGGAGCTCCAGTGTCTCTGCCAGGGCGAGGGCTGCTCTCCGAGTGCTGCTGTAGGAGGCAGGAAAGACTCACCATCATAAAACCCTGCTGCCAGGTGATGGTGGGGCTTGGAGGGCATCCAGGAGAGGCTGAAGCACTGCCCACACTCGGATGCATTCCCTGCCTGGATGGAGCCCACCTGGAGCGTGGCAATGCACTGCACCTGGGGGCCAAAGGACAGTCCTGGGTCACAGCCCGGCACTGAGGCCATCCACGCTCTGAGAGCTGGGATGGGCAGGGTGGGAGCACAGCTCTGCTCTGCTCATCCAGTGCTCTGCAGGTGCCCCGGCTCCCCCCCCACTCTCCCACCTGCACTGACCAGAGGGCTTGCTGGGTACTGGCCCTGATAGGGACCACCGTGGTGGGGGACACTGACCTTGCAGATAAGGTGCTTGTGGAGGGGCCCATCTGGAAGAGAGCAGAGTGGGGTCAGGGCAGGCACCAGTTTTCTGGGAGCTCCCTGCCTGGAGCCTGGATTGCAGCTCCCCACAGCCTTGACCAGGACTCTTGGTTCCTGTCCTGCCACCCCCCCATAGCAGTGTCCTCAGCACAGCAGGAACCAGAGCACATGGAGCACCAAACCCAAGAGCCAGCAGGGGCAGGACCCCAGCCAGGCTTGCCTGTGCAGGAAGAAGCAGCCCACTGAAAGGCACTGCAGGCAAAGGTGAGGCAGGGCTGACATGCCCCCAACCCACCATGACTGGCACCAAAGTCAAGGGCACGTGATAATATGCAAGGGCCAGACCTAACTGTGACCACCCTGGGGACAAGAAGGAATGGCTATGCAGGACATCTGCTCCATGGGGTGATGGGGCTGAAGCAGGCAGAACTCCTGGGGAAGGAAGGCTGCAGAGACCCTATGCCCAACGGCTCAGAGTGTGGTGCCCGTGGGACCCCCCTTCCCCCCCCAGCTCCATCTGCCAGAAAATCCCCCCCACCAGCAACACCTGACATATATGCTGTGGGGACTCTGTCCCACACCCCTCAGGCCTGTAGTGCCCCTGCCCCAAGTGTGGGGCTGTCCTCTGGCACAGCAAGCAGCAGACAGGCATGTCCTAGCCCAGAGCGTGGCAGCTGTGGGTGGAGGCATGGAGGAGCCATGCATCTTCCCCAGCACAGCTGGGACAGCTGGGACACGGTGCAGAGACCAGCCCTGGGCTCTGCCAGGCAGGAACCCCAGGTGCAGGTCCCTGGTGCCCCCGGAACAGCCAGCATAGCCACGCCAGCCTGGATGCTGCCGGCAGGGCTCGGCACCGCAGTCTGGCGCTGATCCCGTGGCTGGGAATCAGCGCTCCAGTCTGCCTGTGAGGCACAGAGATGGTGTGTGCAGCTGCAGCTATCAGTGTGCTGGGCCCCAGCCGGTGGCAGGAGCCGGGGGGCCCCCCTGCCACGAGGTGCCACACGGGCGCTGCGGCAGAGGCCTATCCGCCCGCAGCTGACACAGGCAGAGCCAATGTGCCGCGGGGGCTGGGAGCCGCACCAGGAGCCCATTTCCC